ACAGGTGTGCACAGGTGTGCACAGGTAACCAGGTTCTTAGTGATCGAGAACAAAGAATTGAACCGAACACACAAAGTTTATAGCATAAAGAAAGAGGGGAGGTTTATTAAGTGATAGTACACACCACAGGACACGGGAGTGAGCCAGCTCTGAGCAGAGGAAAAAAAAAGGGGCCCGTGGGCTGGGGGATTCTATTCTTATAGGGGCAGAAGCCCCCCTGCTAGTCTTTGGCGGGCTTTTCCTGTGCAGGTACAAGGAGTTGGATTTCAAAGCTACTGCGCATGCGTGGTTTCCCATGACTTTCTTGATTGGCTACTGGAGAAGGGAGTCCCACAATGTTATTTCATTATAATGATATTATAATGAATCAGGGGTAGCGCGCAGGCGCATTCTATGATTCAGAGTTGTCCCAGAAAACAGGAACAACCTGTCTTAGGGGGTCTTTGTCATGTATAGGTGTTTTCTACCTCAGTCCTGCCGGGCCTCGGGAGCTTCCTTCCTGACTACCTCCTGCCTCATAACCAATAAATTATATTAAACAACAACAACAAAAAAGAGCCCTGGCTCATGTGGTTCAGTGGATTGGGCACTGGCCTTTGAACCAAAGGGTCACTGGTTCAATTCCCAGTCAGGGCACATGCCTGGGTTGCAGGCCAGGTCCTCAGTAGGGAGCACTTGAGAGGCACCACACATTGATGTTTCTCTCCCTCTCTTCCTCCCTCCCTTCCCCTCTCTAAAAATAAAGAAATAAAATCTTAAAAAAAAAAATTCTCTCATTGCCCTGGCTAGGTAGTTCAGTTGGATAAAATGTCATTCCCATACACCAAGGTCGTGGGTTCAATCCCCAGTTAGGGTATATACAGAAGTCAATGTTTCTGTCCCTCTCTCTTTCTCTATTCCTTCCTTCCTCCATCCCTTCCTCTCTCTCAAATCAACAAATAAAAAATAATTTTTAAATGACCTGAAAACTTCAGTGTCTGCCCTGAAAGAGACCCTTATCTCCTATTGCCTGCAGGACTGAAATGCTAAAAAATAAACCCAGAATCTCATCCTGTGAGTGGCTAAATTACAATACAAACTGAATTTTCAGCCTCAAAGGATGATCACTCTTTAAGTGAGGGCATTTAATTGGGAGGAAATGGGATCATGAAAGTGGGAATGGGGACATGTGAGAAGACTGACAGAGCTGGGGTGCTAGAGTGGTCATTAAGGAGGGCTGTGAAAGAATTCAGAGAGGAAAATGCAGAGAACAAAGTTTGTGCACTTTCTAAGAGAGGAAGGGGACTGGGAGTGGAGAAATATGCTGGCTCTGAGAGTTTAGGGTTTTAAGCCTTTATTGGCTTATAAAGGGTGGGGTTGGTGTTGTATAGCCACTGGGCTGTTAAGGGCATTTTAACATAGGAGGTTTCAGAAGCTGCAGTTTGCTCCAATGTCATCTTTTGCCTGTGGCTGTGGGGAGCGGTTAGTCACGTTCTGTTCTAGCTTTTCCAGTAATTTTACAGTCCTGTGGACATAAGCTCAGAATACAGCAAATGGTCCAGGCTTTGTCCTCTCATGAAGGATGTTGAGTCCCTAAATTCTGATGAGTCTTTTTTTACAAACAAAAGCAGTTTTTCCACAGCATCTGAGGAGTGCAACCCTGCATTGCCTTTGGAAATGGTAATGGCCTCCCGTGAGGCAGTTAATTTGCAAGACAATTCTGATTCTCCTCAGGACCCACCCTAATACCCTCCTTTGCTTCTAGACTGAAGTCCGGCAGGTGCCTAAAGGGAAGGTACAAAGTGTAACGCACACGGAAGTTTGCTATCCACCCAAAGGACTGAGTGAGTTTCCCCAATTTATATGGACAGAAATCCAGGGGATATGAGATTGGAATGTGAGAGTGAAATTATTGTGTAAGACCTGCTTGCCCTTCCCAGAATGGTCCAGAGAACACATTTCTCAGCAACACACCCACCAAGTCTGTCAGTGAACAGAAAGGCCATGACCTTCATGTAAACAAATGTCGGGGGGTACCTTTTTAAAGAAATGTAAAGAGTTTATTCAATAACGATTTGCAGTAGTCCTCAGTCTGAACTGAGAATGTGTTCCAAAGTGGAGAGAGTACAGCATGGTTTATAAAGGCTAAAATTCAAGGAGCTGTTGATTAGAGATGGATTGCTAGGGAAAACAAGACATCATAACCTTACATCAGTTGTTTTCTGATTGGTGGGGGCAAATGGACCTTTAATGACTAGCTGACTCAGTAATTAAGCAAATGTGGTTCTGAGATGAGAACAATGAGTAATATATGATTAAACACTTATCAAGTCCTAGTTTCAGCCTGTAGGCCCGTAGAACAAAAAAGTTGTCTTTAATCACGCAATCAGTACAGAGAATATTTTTTAAATATTTTAAAAGATTTTATTCATTTACTTTTAGAGAGAGGGAAAGGAAGAAAGAGAGGGAAAGAAACATCGATGTAAGAGAGAAACATCTGTCGGTTCCCTCTTGTCGGTCCAGGCTTTGTCCTCTCATGAAGGATGTTGACTGGGGATCCAACCCACAACCCAGGCATGTGCAGTGACTGGGAACTGAAATGGCCACCTTCCGCTTTGTGGGACGACAACCAACCAACTGAGCCACACTGGTCAGGGTAGCACAAGGAATACTTTTTAAAACAGTGATGCACAGAGTACAATTTATCAGACAGTACAATCAGCACAGGGGGGCAGTTCTGGAGCCCAAAAGGCAAAGTTACCTTCTGCAAGCACCTTCAGAGCTCAGCTGAAAAAATCCCAGTATTAGACCACAAATTATGAAATTAAAATTCTTATGAGTCCTCACACCTTTACCAGAATGTACTTTTCCTAGTTCCTCTGCTCTGACCCGCTTGTCACATGCCCACAGTGTGCCCAATGGGGTGGGAAATGTTATTTGCCTTAAACCACTCAAGGTTTATTCCTGGGTTTAAGGATGGGACCAAATCCCAGGCCATATAGCTGATGTCAACTAAGTATTCTATCACCAAAATGGGTTTTTTTTGTGGGGGAGGGGATGGATTCTAATCCAGAATGTGCAGACAACATGCATGAAAAACACATACCTGCTGTGTAAGTACCACATGCTAACCAGCTGGGCCACTGAAGATCTCCTCCACCAGTCCTGATTTCTGTCCAGGTTAATTAAGGTCTCTGTCATGATTTTAATACTGAAAATTGCTGGTAGTGGGTGATGCATGTAGTTCTCAGTGGGAATTCTGACTACCTGGAAAAGGGAATAGATGGTGGACACTAAACAGATGTTCTGCCCTGATTGGTGTGGCTCCCTGGATTGAGTGCTGGCCTGCAAACCAAAAGGTCACCTATTAGATTCCCAATCAGGGCACATGCCTGGGTTGTGGGTCAGGTCAATAGTTGGTGGCATGTGAGAGGCAACCAATAGATGTATCTCTCGCACATCAATGTTTCTCTCCCTTTCTTTGTGCCTCCTTTTCCTTCTCTCTAAAAATAAATAAATAAATAAAATCTTTTTTAAAAAATTAACAGATGTCCCCTTGCTGAATTTCTTCTGTCGCTGCAGAGGGAAAACATTGCAGACTCAGAACCCAGGCTTGTTCGTAACTACCCACATCAGTACAGGGCAGGCTGGGTCTGTGTTCCCAATCGGCACAGTGGATTTGGTATTTTAATTCTCATCATGGAATAAAAGTTCTGTTCTATTTTTTAGTATATATTTTTATTTATTAATCTTGAGAGAGAGAGAAACATTAATTTTTTGTTCTACTTATTTATGCATGCATTGGTTGTTTCTTGTATGTGCCCTGCCTGCAGATTGAACCTGAAACCTGGGAGTATTGGACGACTCTCTAACCAACTGAGCTGCCCAGCCAGGACTAAAAGTTCTGTTCTTAAAGAAAAGTTTGAAACACATGCATGAATGTATCTAGGCAACTGGATGGAACCAAATCCTGTTTATTTTCATAGCACATCAGTGGACGTGCTACTTTGGGGATCTCCTAGAGTGTCTGAAGCAGCCAGGGCTTTATTACTTATGCCTCCACTAAAAAAGTAGTAACGGTAACCTCAGATTGATCGCTGCAAGCTCTGCACACTATGTGCCCTCCGTGTGATAGCTCTTTAATTCTCCTTCGACCCCATGAGGTTGGTACTGTCATCTGCCTTTCTCAACGAGGAACCTGAGGTTTAGGGATGTAAGTGGCTGGCCCAAGGCAGTAGCATGTTGAAGGACCACTTCCTGGTTCACAGCCAGTGGCTTCTGGCTGTGTCCTCACATGGTGGGCAGGGGTGAAGGGGCACTGCGGAGGCTCATTTATAGAAACACTATGATTCATGAGGGCTCCACCCTCATAACCTAAACATCTCCCAAAAGCCCCCACTTCCCGATACCATTACATCATGCATTAAGATTTCAACACATGAATGTGAGGGGAGAGACCCAGACATTCAGACCCTAGCAGTAAGTTCCCATAAGTTTCTAAAGGGTAGGTTTCAGGGTGTGTGAAAGTTGGAGGGAGTGACTGGAGACAACAGAGTGGAATGTGGTGCATTCCTGCAGGGAATTGGGTGGGATCCATTGAGGTTCCCAAGTTTGTTTTCAGAACTGCAAGGGACAGGCTGCCATGCTTGCCTACAGACAGGAGCTGTGAACAGGGTTGGGGCTGTGAGACCTAGATTTGAAGGGCACCCTAATCCTAATTGCAAATGTTATATTTAGACGCTTAGCAAAATGTCATGCTGGCAAATATGATTATCAAGTAATCAGGTTACTCAACGGGGGTCTCAGTTATCCCATCTGTAAAAAGGAGATGAGACCCACTGCCCCTGACTGGAAAAATTTAAATGAGATATGCATGTAATCTTTCTGGCACTTAATAGGCACTTAATAAATAGCAGCTGTTATTGTTATCATTTTAATAGTACATAGATCCATTTTGAGTTTGTTCAAATGATTGAACAGATCATAAATTACATGATAATAACAAATGTTATGGTTAGCAGATGCAGATCTGTGGATCCAGAACAGCACCTGAAGTAGCTCAGAGGTCATTCAGAAGGCTCTTGGCCCAGTGTCTTGGAAGAAATTGGATCTGAAGATGGCATCTAGGGTGCTATGGGGCAGCCTCAGCCTGCTCCGCCTGCTGTGGTGTCTCCTTCCACAGACAGGCTATGTGCACCCAGATGAGTTCTTCCAGTCACCTGAGGTCATGGCAGGTAAAGGACCCCATGCATGGTTAAGATAAATTGCAGCAAAGTTTGGGTTAGAGCTGACTGCATATTTAGTGGGGAGGGAGAAACATATCTGTGCAGATGAGCAGTAAGTCCATGAGGCTCTCTGGAATAAGAACTTGGGAGTGGAGACTTCGAATTTCCTTCCTGAGTGGTAACATTGACCTTCTGGATGTAACTAATGAAATGCCAGCCTTATTGATGTTTTCCAACTTAGACCAACAGTACAGGTTATTTGGAGGAAAAATTGTTTTGTATTGCTCAATGGAAGGATTTGTGTTGGGCTTGCCCGGTGATTGGGAAAACTTACACAGGGTTGTAATCTGAACTAATGTAACTTTTCCTCTGTAGATTTACATGAGGGCTCAGGGAACCCAGACCTGGAATGCTCACTTGTTAGAACTTACCTGCTAGGCGGTATAGGACATATCATGAGGATAGTTGCTAGTGACCTTGAGCCTTTTCAGATGTGTTTTGGGCACATGGCTTCCTCCTCATGGTTGAAGATGGCTGCTTGAGCTCCAGCCATCAACTCTAAACCAAGTCTTTCCAGCCACTGGAGAAGAAATGGGCATGCCTGCTCTCTTCTATGGCATTTTTGAAAGTTGCATACCTTTTGCCCATTGCTATTCCATTAGTCAGAATGTATCACATGGCCACTCCTCGCTGCAAAGGAAGCTGAACATTATAGTCTTTATAACTGACCAAACATCCCACTAAACAGACTAAGGAATAAGGAGGGAATGGATATTCGGAAGACATTCAGCTATTTCTGCCACAGACCTCAACAAGTGGATTTAACTTGAAAGGTCCAGTCTTCTTTTCTATACTTTTAAAACCAGAGGCAGTAAAAAGCAGCCAGGTTGATCTGACTCTAGATTTTCTGTTCCCCTTTCACCTTGTGACGTAGAGAAAGTGGCTATAAGGCTGAAGGAATAAGTAGGGGAAACAAATAGCCCTAAAACCAGCAATGTTATAAAGATGAGAAGTTATGGGGTGGAGCTGAGATGCAGAAATTAAAAGTTTGTTTCCTTAATCCTCACCCCTCAGAGCTCTGGGACACTGGAGCACAGGGTCACAAACCAGGGCCGGCTGACAAGTATCCTTTTAATTACCTAAGTACTGCTTGAATATATTCTTCTTATAAAAAATTTAAATGTAGACAAAACTAAAGTCACTTTTGACCATAGCCACAATTGCTCATTCCCTTCCACCTCCTCACACTGCCTATTCTGGGTAAGAATCATAATTACAGAGATGTGTTTTTGACTCTGACTTTGGAGACTTTAAATCTGAGGAAAGGATTGGAACCTCTCCCTGCTCCTCCCCATACACCCTGTCCAGGGCACATTGTCACCTTATGTCCCCGGCAGAGTTTCTCCTGCTCCCTCCACAGGTAGGGCCGAACTCTCCTGTATTCATTTCTATTGCTGCCTAATAAATCACCACAAACCTAGCAACTTGAAACTGTTAGTTCACAGTTCTGTTGGTTAGAAGTCAGGCATGGGCTCTCTTCTTAGGGCAGCACAAGACTGAAATCAAAGTATAGACTGGGCTGAGTTCTTGTCTGAAGCTCTGGGGGGTGGGAAATCTGCTTTCTAAGCTCATTCTTCTTATTGGAAGAATTTGGTTTATTTTGGCTATGTGACTAAAGTCCCCGTTCCCTGCTGGCTGTCACCCAGGGGCTGCTCTCAGCTCTTAGAGGCTACCGTGTGCCTCGCCAATGGCTCCCTCCATCTTAAGACAGCAATGGTGCATCAAATCCTTTTAATGGTTTGAATCTCTGATGTCCTTTTCTGTCACCAGCTGGAGAAAACACTACTTTTAGAGGGCTCATGTGATTATTTCAGGCCCATCTGGGTTATCTCTGTATCTTATGGTCAGCTGTCCCCTGGGTCATAACCTAATCACAAGAGTGAAACCCATCATTTTCACAGTCCCAGGGGTTATACAGGAAGTCAGCATTAGAGGGCTCAAATATCTTGGAGCCATCCTAGAATTTTGTTTACTGTATTCCCTGAGCTTGGAACTGGTTCGCCTCTGCTTCTCTCTCTACAGAGGACATCCTGGGCATAGAGGCTGCCCGGCCTTGGGAGTTTCAGCCCAGCAGCTCCTGCCGCACCGTGGTCTTCCCACTGCTGACCTCTGGCTCTGCTTTCTGGCTGCTCAGGCTCTGGGGAGAGTTGGGACTGTGGCCCATCCCAGTGAGTGGCTACGTGCTGCTGGTGGCACCCCGGCTCCTCCTCACTGCCCTCTCCTTTGCTCTGGATGTGGCTGTGTACCACCTGGCCCCACTGTGGAGGGCAGAGCGCTGGAATGCCCTGGTCCTGCTGTCTGGTTCCTACGTCACCCTGGTCTTCTATACAAGGACCTTCTCCAATGCCATCGAGGGACTGCTCTTTGCATGGCTGCTGGTACTGGTATCCTCCCGTGTAGCTTGGAGCCCCACAACCAAAGAACCTGCTCCGTGGTGGCACAGCTGGCTTCTCGGCAGTATCGTGGCGGCTGGCTTCTTCAACCGGCCCACCTTTCTGGCCTTTGCTCTGATCCCCATCTTTCTCTGGGGCATTTGCAGAGCCACGAACCCTGCCTTCAAGTCACTGACCAAGGAAGCCCTGGGGCTCCTCCCAGGATCAATCCTCACCGCATCAGTGTTTGTGGCTGTGGATAGCTGGTATTTCTCCACTCCCTCTAGATCCAGGGTCCTTGTCCTGACGCCTGCCAATTTCTTACACTACAACCTGGATCCTCAAAACCTGGTGAAGCATGGCACACATTTTCGGCTCACTCACCTGGCAGTCAATGGCTTTCTGCTTTTTGGGACGCTGCATGCCCAGGCCCTGCAGGCTGGGTGGCAAGAGCTGCAAGCCTGCCTCCAGGCCTTTGTACAAACAGGCTTTCGGAGGGTGCCAGATGCCCAGAGTCTACTGTCCAGCCCCAGGTCTCACCTCCTGCTCTTCTACTTCCTGCCCCTGGCCCTGCTGTCTGCTTTTAGCCACCAGGAGGCTCGGTTCCTGATCCCCCTTCTGGTCCCCTTGGTCCTGCTTTGTAGTCCACAGACCCAACCTGTGCCCTACAAGGGCACCCTGGTCCTCTTCAATGTTCTGGGTGCCCTCTTCTTTGGCTGCCTGCACCAGGGGGGTCTAGTACCTGGCCTGGAACACCTGGAGCGGGTGGTTCATGCACCTGTGCTCCCAAGTGTACCTACCCACTACACACTCCTCTTCACCCACACCTACATGCCTCCCCGACACCTCCTACATATCTCAGGTCTGGGATCACCTGTGGAGGTGGTGGACCTGGGTGGGACCGAGGACTGGGTACTGTGCCAAGCACTGAACAACTTCACCAGACAACCAGCCTGCCAGGTGGCTGGTGGACAGTGGCTCTGCCGCCTTTTTGTGGTGACTCCTGGCACCACCAGGCCTGCCATGGAGAAGTGCAGTTTTCCCCTCAAGAGTGAGACACTTGTGTTTCCCCACTTGACCCTTGAGGACCCACCAGCCCTGTCCTCCCTGCTGAGTGGGGCTTGGAGGGACCATCTCAGCCTTCACATCCTGGAGCTAGGAGAGAAGCCTGACAACACGACAGAAAATCTACTGCCATAGGTGAAGGCACCACTCCACCTTCTGTGTAGGTAGCTGGGCTGGGACAGAGCCCTGAGTCTCTTCCATTCCTTTCCTTTCCCTTCCAGAACTCCCACCACTGCCTTTCCTACACAGCCCTCAGCTGTTTTACCTTCTGGGTAATCTGACATCCTTTTCCCCTCAAAGACCAAAGATCTGACTGGTCAAGGTCCCTAAAGAACCTGGTATAACCAATGGCCCCCAGTGGTTCCTGCCCTATTCCTTCTAGCCACTGTGCTGTTTTAAATATATGGTAGCATCTGGTTGTGAAGAGACAATCATGTGCTAATGACATTCCTCAATGACCTCCAAATCTTCAGGATGCCTTACCTCTTGCTGCCATGACAACCTTTTGGCTTCCTAGACACCTAGAAGGAGGCAGTGGGAATGTAGAGAGAGTAGGAAGCTCAGATTCAAGGGACCTGAGTTCTAATCCCTGGTCTGACACTCACTGGCTCTGTGATCTTAAGAAAGCTTCTTCCCTTACCCAGCCTCAGTTTCCCAACCTGTACAATGGATCAGAGGATCTCTGAGGTGTCTGCCAGCTAACACTGTGTCTGTCATTCCTGGGTCTGCAACACATGTCCCCTGGCTAGATAGGCATGTCTCTCCCATGATCTTTAAGCATAGAAGTAGGTGTGGTGGTGTAATTAATTGTACTTTTATGCCTGCTGCCTTAGTGTTTGGCTATTACTAAAAAAAAAAAAAAAGATTTGGAATATTTCTTTCCACTGCCTTCTACTCCTCTCCATCAATGGCAGTGGGACACTTTGGCCTGTCATCCTTTAAGGATCATCCTCCTGGATAAAGGATCATTCTTCCTTTAAGAATCATTTTTCCTCCTGAGCCCACCACACTCAGAGTGGAGGACACACAATAGTCAGCTTCTAGCAGCACCTGACAACCTGGTGCTCCCAGAAGCCTTTCTTCTTAAATGTGATCTGGTTCTTCCCAAGCTCAAAGGCCTTGTCTAAAACCCCTCTTCACAGGATAGAGAGCGGACCCCATGCCAAACCAACACGTGCTGCTTTGATGGAAGCTATCATACCCCTGAGCATGCTGCTCCCAACACAGGTACTCTCTACCCAGTCCACTGGGGACATGAGGAGCTGTGGTACTACACCTGTCCTTATTCTCCCACCTCACACCTCTGCCATCTTATGAGAACAAGAGGCAACAGGGCCACAGAGACCAGTGAGCTGGAGGTCAGCACAGAGCAGGACACCAAACCTATACAAATGACCAAACCTGAGTCCTTTCCTAGTCTTGCCTTTTGCTGGCTAAAGCCTTGTGTAATCTTAAAGCTACACCCCTCACAGGCATGCTGTTCTGTGACTGCTGTTAGGGTCTTAGTGCCATACCTTTCTCATGACTCCAATCCTAGGAAGAGGAAATTCATTGGTAGGCTGGTAAATGTGTAGCAACCTGTTTTCTGGGGCAACCCCCCACCCCCCTGCAATTTTAGCATTTGCCTATTTCTGTGGTGTAAATACTCTCACACGGCTATTTCAAACTACTAAATTGATGTTACTGAATTCCAAGCTGGGAGGAGATACCAAGGATCTACTCTCATGAAGCAGCACAAACTGGCTCTAGAACACTATTGGACATTTGCTTCCTTTAAACTCTAGAGACTCATTCGTAGCAATTCATTATTCTTGTAGTTTATGTTTCTGCTACAAACATCTTGACTTGTCTTCCTACCCCTAAGGTATCATCTCTGGCAAATGATAAGCACATATTTATTTTGCAGCCTAAAATGGCATTTCTGTCCATAGATATAAAACCAAGTGCCATGTCAGAGACACCCAAGACACTAGGATCCCAAACTCCTCCGGCTTCTGCCTCTTCCCTTTCCCAATTGAGTCCACAACCTCAGAATTCCCTGGAAAAACTGTTGGTGTAGATTGTGGTGGTCTGAGCTCTATTAAATTTGTCATTAAAATGTATCTGTGTGGCATCAAAAGGTGAGCTGAAATTGCCCTGCACTGCAGGGTCTGCAGAATGAGGGGGTGAGCTGCTTCCCTCTCTGGCAGAGCTTAGGAGAGCTTGAATGGCACGCTGGGAGGCTGTTGTCGGGGTTGGGAGGATTTGGTCTGTTTCTTTAGTAGTAAGGTAATTGGTGAGAAGGCAAGCCACTAATACAAACACTGAGGTTTTTATAATGATGTGGGGAGACATCCCAATGATCTCTGGTTGGAGCAGAAAGGACAGTTTTCTCTCTACTCTCAGACGCCTTCTACAGAAATGGAAGGAACTTAAAGTTCTTAAATACTCCTTCCACAAAAAATAAGCAAGTGCTCCCTTCTCTTGCTTTCCTTCCTTTCTAAATGGCCAGTTTGCCTTGAAATTTCATTGCTTCCTGCACCTCTTCCCTTTCTGTCTCTTCTAGAAAAAGACAGTGAGTGTGCTTGTTTATGTTGAAGGTAGGGATTTGAGCTGAGGAATGCTAATATTGTGCTGTTCTGATATCCAGAGACCAATGGATAGGACTGAGACCAAAGAGACAGACAAGACAGTAGAGTGAACAAGCTCCTCAGGCTCACCACTGCCAGGCTTCAAGAATCCCGTGAGTTGCCTCTGGTCTAGAAGAAGGATATATCCTCTTAGAGGAGAAGAGGGTAGTATGCCAAACCAGGATTTTTGTCATTAGGGGAATTGGACTTCTGGCCTCAGGGAGGATTAAATAGTACCTCTGATGGGAAGGCTGAAGGGTGGGATGCCAAGCAGGAGTTTGACCATTAGGAAAGTGGAGGACAAGCTACTTTCATTCCTTCATCCTCAGTGTAGGTCTCCAGCCCTATCCAGCTCCTCGTGACTATCAGAAAAGCCAGAGTATAAATCTGTTTGGTCACCAATCAGTCTAAAAGCTTCTCCCCTGGCTTTGACCTTTCTAGATTGCATGAATAACTGTGTAGCCTAATTAGAGGTGATCAGCCTCTAATGGCAGGACATTTCTGAATACAATGGATTTTCCTACTACTGAGTCCATTAGCTGCACCATAATGTTTATATTGTATCCTTGACCCTCTAAAATGGTGAATAGGAATCCAGATAGCTTGTTCCATGGTAGGCAGTAGTCCTTACAACCAGTGGTGATGGTGGGGAGTAGGAAGGCAGGCACTGAAGGTCAGAGTAAATGCTACAGAGAGCTATGGACTTAGGCCCTGGAGTCAAACGCCTGTATTCACATCCCGCTCTGTAAGCAGCCTACCCTTTCCGAAATGAAAGTGGCTGTAAGGATTAAGTGAGATAACCCACACAGGGTGCATTAGCAAATAGCAATACAAAGTAAGCACTCAGTATGTTAACCATTCATTCCCTGGGCCTATAGTGCCCAGGAATCCTAATACAGCTTGCTAGAGAAATACCACACTCATATCCATTACTCAGCTCGCACATTTAATCACAGGATTTTGGCATCTGCTAAGTTGTCTTTCCACCCATGATCTCATCTGCAGACAGTGCCGTGCTACATCGATGCAGAGGCAGCAGCAACTACCACGAGTTTTAGTCCCATTCGCAGAAGGCAGACTCTTTCGCTCTGTGGTACGGTCCATGGTTCTCTGCACGTGCAGTATCAGGGTCTAGCCTACCTCCATTTCTGTTAGGCTTCGGGGTATTTCTTCACACACTGCCCTGTCCGATCACAGGGCTGCACCGAGGATGTCCGTTTGGCTGGCCTGGGTTCTCTGATAAGTGGGCCTCTACAGGCCGAAATGAGTCAGGATTCGAAGCCTTGCGCAGTGCCGGGGATCACTCCTTAGCGCCCAGGCCCGTGTCCAGACCAGAAGGAAAAGCAGTCGATCTCCGGCCGGCCAAATCCGGGTTTAGTGGTTTGCGTCCCGGCCCCTCTGGCCACCTGGTGGTGGCCCTGGGCGCTCCCGGAGGCCGCGGCGCACCTCCTGAATGAAGGTGTCTCTGAAGCGGGCAGCGCGCCGGCCCAGAGAAGCCGCGGGCCCAGCCCCGAGACCTCGCAGACGACGGGCCGCGTCCTGGCCGCGCAGCTGGGCCTGCAGTAGTGCGAAGGCAGTGAGCTGCGCCGCACGCCGGATAGGCCGCGATTCGGCCAGGCGCTCTACTAGCTGCGGGCTGTGCAGCAGAACGGCCAGGAGCCTCCGTAGGACCATCCTTGGAGCAACCCGGAACCCGTAGCGCGCCGCCCGGGCTTCTAATCGGCGACGCTACGTAACGGACCACGTCTAAACCCGCACCGCCCAGTGACGACACTGCCGCGCTGGGATTGGTCGACGAAAGTACGACTTTCAGCAGTCGCCGCCGCGCGTTTCCGGTTCCGTCACCTCCGCGGCAGGCTAGTAGTTCCCGGAGTGACGGTGTGACCGTCCACATCTGTGCGCTATGTCCGGTGGCCTCCTGAAGGCGCTGCGCAGCGACTCCTATGTGGAGCTAAGCCAGTACCGGGACCAACATTTCCGGGTAAGGGAGGCCGAAACTCGAGAAGGGAAGGCCCTGGGCCAGAACGCTGAGAGTTGGTTTTCTCTGGTCTGTCGTTTCCCATTCTCTGGTTTCCCGAAACGCGAAGTGAGGCCCGGTGCCTGCTGGGGAATGGATGCTGAAAGGGCGTTTGGGTATCACTGACTCTCCTTCTCTCCTAGAAAGCGCATTTGAGGCTCGCCCTCCCATTCCCTTGCAGCCACTCTCTGTTCCCGGGCCAGTGTAGAAGGGTTCGAGTGGCAGTAGTGGTGGCTCACGTTTTCCTGGACTGTGCTTTGGTAACTTTCTCATGAGGGGAAGGGGTGTCCTTCTGACACCTGGAGGATGTGGGGGCGCTTTCCTGACCCAGATATTGATATCTGGGGCCTTTTATTATGTTTTGGTTTAGATTAGATTAGCCAAACTGCCCTTTGGCGCTTCGGGTCTTCCTTCTACGCAGTGGGTGGGAGACAAAAGTTTAGCCCAGTCTCCACCCCTAGGGAGCCATAGGAGTGGGGAGATGGACCAGCTTAGCACATGTGTCTAGATCAGTGATTTTAAATTTTTTTCATCTCACTGCACACAAGCTACTAAAATTTCGTGGCACACCAAAATAATTTTTTTCTGATCTTATCAAAAAGTAGGTATGATTTTGACCCATTCACACCTTAGGGCTCTTGTTGTTTTGGCTGTTGCCTTTTTTTTTTTTTTTAAAGATTTGATCATCTAAGGGAAAAGAGGTCGGATATTGCATGTTTTGAAAATTCTTGTGGCACAAGGGTTGAAAACCGCTGCTCTACGTGTCAAAATCAGAACTGCTGGGCCTCAGAAGAGGAAAATTTTAATTTGGCCTATGTCATAGATTTTGTGGAAAAAGAGAAAGCAACAGATATTCAAGGTGGTTTATTCGCTAGCAGCAAAGGGTGGGGTGAAGCTAACCTCATTAACCACTGTTATCCAGTGTTGTTGCTGAAGCCCCCTGCTAAACCCTACAAGGGTGTGCAACCTGTGGCCCTGCAGTCAGCTCAGCATGGCTGTGAATGAGGCCCAACACAAAATTGTAAATTAACTTAAAACATTATGAGGGTTCTGTGTGTGTGATTATGTGTCCCAGTGTATTTATTGTGTGTCCCAGAGATGCCAAAAGTTGGACACCCCTGCAAGAGAGAAGGAAGACAGTTTCTGCACTCCTAAGGGCTTGTAATCCCATAGGAGGGACTTTAAATGGAGGCAGGTAATCATCACCTAGAGAGAAATGAGGAGTGTAAAGGGAGGATGGGCTGTGAGAATTCAGAAAAGGGATATAACCCTTGTGACTGGGCAAGAAAGGGGCACATATTGAAGAAGGTAGGCGTGGGGAATGTGTAAACAGGTTATTAGAGTAAGAAAAGGAAATTTTGTTTGAGGCCAGAGAGAGGAAGATCTTAAATTCCTTTACTCAGTCAGCCGATTTTAAATGTTTACCATGTGCCAGGCATGATTTTCACTTCTGTCACTTAAGAGTTCTCATTACTTTAGAAAGTTCCACATCATAACCATCTTGAATTTCAAGCATCCTGAAAAATCAAAACTGAAAGGATTCAATTTTTCCTATTATTCTTCCTTGAACTTTAAAGCCGGTAGCTTTATTTTGATAGTAGTAAGATACTGTCATGCAGAATTTCTAATGTTCCCTGAATGGAATCCACATTAATATCATACCTTAAGTACAACACAGTTGTGTTGAGCCATAGGCTATTTGTTTGGACATTATTTGTGTGAGTAAAGTAGAAAGAAAAAAGAAAATGCCCTCCTGACCATAATTTTAACAAATAAAAACATTCTATTACAGCAGCAGTACAAATAAAGTGCATCTAATGTCTTATTCCAAAGTTCTAAAAAACCTAATGTCTTGTGGACTTTGTAGTTTTTAAAGGTTTTGTTTATTTTTCAGAGGGAGGGGGAGGAAGAGAGGGAGAGAAGCATTGATCAGTTGCCTCCTGCAGGCCCCCAGCTGGGGACCTGGCCTGCAACCCAGGCATGTACCCTGACCAAGAATTGAATTTACGGACTTTCAGTTTGCTGGAGGATGCCTGACCCACTGAGCCACACCAGTCAGGGCACCCTGGGGACTTTTTAAGGAAGTATTGGATTGGGTATAAGACTGGATTTGAATGCTAGCTACAACTACAGAGTAGCTGTGTGACCCTGGGCAAGTCTTAACTGTCTTTACTGAGGTATAAAATGAGAATAAATTAGGACCTACCTCACTGAGTTCTCAGAATTAATGGAGACCGCATACACGGAAATCCCTGACCTACAGTCCCTTGATTCTCACTGGTCAGACATACTTACCTTTTTCTTGTTTATGTTATCTATGAGTATTCATACTTTTGAAGATATAAACTTGGAGCATATCCTTCACATTGTTCTGTACTTTTTCACTTTGCTCACTATTATGGAAATGTTCTATATCACTATATGTGGATGAACACTTTTCTTGGGGCTACATAGTTTTATTTATTGAGGTATCACGATTTAGTTAACCATTTTCCTTTTGATGTGACTTTAGATGGTTTCTCTGATCTGCCACTGAACATAAGCACAAGACCTATTACTCTGAGCACTGTACCACAAAGCATTCAGAGATGAATAATGCAGTCTTATTCTCAGAGTGAAGAAACTGGATTAGTATTCTAAACAGACCAGTAATGAAAAAGCCATGCCTCTTGGGAAAGTGCGCTGGTGGCCTAAACATGATTCTGCTCAGCTACTTTCCAAGTTTGAATACCACTGTGCGGCTGGTATTAGAGCCCAAACATGGGTCTGAGGGCCTGAGAACATGTCAGCTGGTAGGTCTTCTATTTAATCAGTACTTGCCCTCCCCAGCATGGAGGCTAAAAGATTTTCTCCTAAACTCAGAGAAAAATATATGAGCATGTAAACTACCTAAGCAGTTGTTGCTTTGAACATTCTCTGTGGGAGGGTTACAGGGGTACCCTGTCTCTACAAATCCATTTATTTTTCATTGCAAAGGTTAAAAATGCCCTTTCAAACATATTGGTTCAGGGTCTGGAAATTAAACTTCGACTATTAGAAAAGGATCCAGTGCTGAGGATGAGTATTCAGGAAAAGGCATGCCACTTGTACGGCAGGCATTATGGTACAGAAAAAGGAAGGTCACGTGCAATGTAACTTTCAAGTCATGGCCTTCTATTAAAAACAACCTGGACCTTGTGTAAGCGTTTCATAGATGGTGAATACTTCTTCCCCCCTCTTTTTTTTGGGGGGCAAGGTATTTTGTCATAGATTGGGATGATGAGAGAAGCTGATTCCTGAATCAGAATTAATGAAAAGTTTTCAAATATTAGCAATACTACTTAAGCAAGGATCTTAGATTGTGTTAACTTTTTCTCTGTTCGAAATTCTAGGGTGACAATGAAGAACAGGAAAAACTACTGAAGAAAAGCTGTACACTATATGTTGGAAATCTTTCCTTTTACACAACTGAAGAACAAATCTATGAACTCTTCAGCAAAAGTGGTGACATAAAGAAAATCATTATGGGCCTGGATAAAATGAAGAAAACAGCATGTGGTTTCTGCTTTGTGGAGTATCCTTCCCTTGTCTGATGTAGCTATTGGATGAAGGTGGCATCTAGAGCAGTTAGTCATCTGCTTAAAAAAAAAAAAAGAGGATATTTGCTAATTAGCATTCCTAAACTTATCTCTCTCTCTCCTTCCTCCATCTACTCCTACTTTCTGTCCAGTATGAGTATACTTACATTGTGAAAGCTAGTAACATTTATATTCTGTTCTGAAATCCATTCTTTGTTTAGTTAACTTAAGAAAAATAATCTTTCAAGAATATATGCTCATGGTGTTTTTAAAAGTCAAGGGTATAGTGAAAATAAAATCCTTGTACCATTATAAGCCTAGAGACAATGAGTTATTCTCTTGGGTGTCTTTCCAAAAGAAATCCTGTGGATATGTGGTAGTATACTGCATGCACTATTTTTTTTTTCACCTCTTAGTTGTTCCACATTAGCACATGTAAGTCTACTTCTTTTTAAAATCACTTTATAGTATGTATCACGTAATATTAGGTGTATATAGCTTGATTTTCCTAGGTCAAAACCAAAACTATTTGTGATCATTTATTCTCTTCCTGGAAACTATAAATTTGGAACTTCCAAATTTACAATCTTTTTCCCTAATAGTTTTCTTTTTGTGGTCATTTTGTTTTATATGGTGAGAAATTTCCCAGACCTGATCTGACATGTCTTTTGAAAATTTTGTCCTGAATTATGTTTGTTTGTATTTATGTTGTAAATTTCCCATAAAGGTTGGGTTTCCAATCACAATTAGGAAAAAGGCTGCTCATTTTGTGGACCCAGGCAGAGCTGCTCTCAAGTTGTTGCCTTACCTTTCAGATATGTGGGTTTTCCAAATGCCAGAATTATATGTTGGCCAGCTAACATCAAGATGGTGCCCTAGTTCTTCCAGACAGTTCGTTCAGAACCCCGTCATTTTATTTGTATTTACCTGAAATTAAATGCCTTCCTGCTAGCAAGTCTTTCCACAGACTGTTTATTAAACCCTATTTGCAGCTTCACTTCTTATTCAACTATGAATTTAGAGCCTCCTGGGTTTCCTGTCTTCTCCTCTAAACTTTTTTAGAGTATTTCAGACTGTGACTTTGTTTCATCCATTGGCACTCTCCCACTGGCTTTTGTTGAATCACTAGTCTGCTGATAGCCTCTTCTATTTTCTGGGTGTATGTTTCTTTTCTCTCATTTTAATGGGTCTTAAGAAGGAAAGGAAGAAAATGTGCTCACTATTAGCTTGAACCATAAACCCCACTTTTGGTTTTGGTATCTGATTTCTGGGCTCTGCAAGCTTCTTCCTTCCATTCTCCCTTCACATGCAAGGAACCAGAGTGCCCCTGTTTTGTTTTTGCCTCTGATAGTTCACAGGGGACTGGGAGAACAATGAAAACACAAAAGACAAAGAAAATCCACCCTGTACGTCATAATCTGTCTGAGAGCTAGAGTATTTTTGCTTTTGTCTTACAGGTCAAAGATGAACAATCATAATGGCAAATACCCAAAAGAGAGGCTGCCATTGGCACTGTTAATTTTGTTTGCCCTTTTAGCGTGCATTTCATTCATCAACAAAAAATTATTGAATGCCCACTATGTGCTAGGCATCTTGTAGGTTCTAGACACTGGAATTTCAGCGAGTGTTTCCCACTATAATTAAAGACAAGGCAAACAATGTCTAGATCAGCATTTCTCAGTCTTTCTTTTTAATGAAATACAATGGCAATTCCATATGCCCATTGACCCCTTTTATTAAGGTTGTTCTTGAATATATAGCCTCAAATTTCGACACTATTGATTCCTTAGATAAGTGTACATTTTGTGGCCTAAACCTACCCTAAACATATTTTATACTTTACAAAACAAACTATTTGGTGAACAGGACCAAATAATTATTAACAGGATTACTCAGGAAATCATGACCACTGTAGCCATGGATAAGTGTCATATTTCACTCTCTAGTGCTTCTGTACCAACCTCAAACAGGCGTGTGCAAACCAAATTACTGTCTTTAAACTCCATTTGGTTGGACTAGTTTTTGTATTTTTTCTTAACAACTCAGCTTCATTTAGCTGTTGCTTGCTGTATTTCCAAAAAGGTTTGGAGAAATGCTATGTAGTGTTCCTTAATATTTACACGTAAGATACTATTCAAGAGCAGATGCAGAAAATGCCATGCGGTACATAAATGGAACTCGTCTGGATGACCGGATCATTCGCACAGACTGGGACGCAGGCTTTAAGGAGGGCAGACAGTATGGCCGTGGGCGGTCTGGGGGCCAGGTATGCAGGTCTCTGGGCTTAGCCTTTACCTGGGATTCCAGTCCTAATGACAAGAGTTACAACTTTGTGCCTTAGGCCCTGGCCAGGTAGCTCAGTTGGTAAGAGCACCATCCTGATATACCAAGGTTGCACATTTGATCCCTGGTCAGGGCACATGTTTATGCATTCATTGGTTGATTCTTGTAAGTGAAACAACAAATCAGTGTTTCCGTCTTTCTCCCTCTCCCTTCCTCTCTCTAAAAATCAGTAAATTTTAAAAAATTAAAGAAAATAACTTCGTGCCTGTAACTTTGGCTTGAAGTGAATCTCAAAACACCCATTGGGATTAGTAAATTTTTTCCCTAACCAATGAAATGGTATATTCTGTACATTTCCACAAGCAGCTATTACTGGACTGTAGCTAGGGACTAGATATTTTCCACTTGTGAGAGTGTCTAGAACAAAAACAAAATGTATTGAAATTTGAGTTTTGTTTTTATTTTATAATTAACTGAGTTGAACTACTTTGGAATGTGTTACTTTTGAATGCTGATGAATGATTATGTACTTGGTGCTTGGTAAAAACAAAACAAAACCCTTTTAGGTAGTCTCATAATTCTGCACAGCAATTAAGCTCTTTTGTTTTTAAATCCTCACCCGAGGACATGCTTATTGAATTTAGAGAGAGGGGAAAGGAGGGAGAAAGAGAAACATCAGCTGCCTCCCACATACTCCCCGACCAGGGAGCAAACCCACGACCTTTCAGTTTACCAGATAACACTCCAACTGAGCCCTCCCCGCCAGGGCAAGGCAGTTAAACTTTGAATTAGTTGCTTTAAAAAATTATATCCTGCTTGAATGTTCGTTCACATTATTGACATCTGAAAAGGCTTAGGTATTTGACATATTTGTGGGAGATATCTGTTACACTAATCTTCTCTATACTATAACTTGTGTTCTTTTCAATTAAGGTACGAGATGAGTATCGACAGGACTACGATGCTGGGAGAGGAGGCTATGGAAAACTAGCCCAAAACCAGTGAGCAGTTGAGAATCCCACCAAGAAAAATTCACTCCTTTGGCCTGCTGAATTTCACATACATTACCCAAGGTCTGCAAACCTGCTATTTTTACCAAGCTTTGAGAGCCAGAAGCCCACTTCATGGTTTTCCTCTGAAAATTATTAAAGGACAAAGTTCAAAAGAATGCCTTTAATTCTAGTCTTAGAATATTGGCCATGTGTCAGGTTACCATGATTTCCTTACCAGGTCAAGATTGTGTTCCTTGGCAACAGATTTTATCTATAATGTTGATCTAACAAAAAACCCACACATATACCAAAACACACTTCTTTTAGGAAAACTGAAAATAATTAAAATTTTGTTTGCCATATTGATGTCTAAGTAGGTCTGTGGTCTACACTGGGGCCTGGAATTACTATTTTAAAACTTTTCAGTTTCCTTGAGATGAAGTTTAATAAATCCATTTTTGTGATATTGTATAGCTTTTCTTTTTTTAATTCCCACCTGATGACATGCCTATTGGTTTTAGAGAGAAGGGAAAGGAGAGAATGGGGTTGGGGGCAGTGGAGGGGGGGACATCTATGTAAGAGAGAAACATCAATTAGTTGCCTCTAATATGGCTCCAAACCAGGCACCAAACCTGCAACCTAGGCATGTGCACTGACTGGGAATTGAACCCATGACCTTTTGGTTTACCCAGGGCAATATTGTAAAGCTTTGCTCTAAATTAGGAACAAATATTGACAACTTAATTTATTTCTATGTTGAATTCTAATCTCTAAATGCAAGTTTAGGTGTTAAGAAAATTCCCTAAATAGTTGGTCCAAAAGTAAGCCTTACAGCCCCAGGGGATACCACCCGCTTACATATCAGGAAATTAGGTTTGGGACTTGAAGAGTATTTACTAAACACCTTTTTTTCAAAAGATGTGTTTTTCCTGAGGTTAAAAAAAAAAAAGAGTAGATTTGTATTATAGAGTACCTTGAATACTCTAAGGGAAGTGGGGGACAGTGTCATTAAGAAATGGGTTGAAGTATCAGAGGACATGAGTTAAAACATTGCCTTGATATGTTGAAGATTGCTGAGAGGGCCATCAGGTTTATTCTTTTCATTTTCAGAGTGATCTCGGAAATGGAGTAAGTTTTAAAAAAGCTTAAAGGTTGAGAGACTGCCTAATGAAAACGATCAGAAATGCTTCCCTCAGAAACTGTGTTCTGGCTAATTCTCATGTTGAAGTCTGTCTTTTTTTTTTTTTGTTAATGTGCTTACTGAGTTTCAGAACCTTGGTAATGATGGTCTGCACAGAGAGGAAAGTCTAGAGTATTTATTTTGCATCTATAAAGCAAGAGGTGATTTCTAACATTGTACTGAACTGTTGCTCATTTAAAACTGCTAATCTAGTATAATTTTCCCTGACATGAGTTTTTTTATCTAGCAATAGAGTATCCCCAAACTTTCTATAGTTTATGAAACTTGTGGCTGAATTATCTCAATTGTGTGCATCTTTGACACTATATAAGTACAGGTTTTCTCATTAATGAAAACTGGTTATTTGAAATTTTTAAAGATTTTATTTATTTTTTAAGAGAGGGGAAAGGAGGGAGAAATAGAAAAAGAAACATCAGTGTGTGGTCGCCACTCACATGCCCCTTACTGGGGACCTGGCTTGCAACCCAGGCATGTGCCCCGATGGGGAATCAAACTGGCGACCCTTTGGTTTGTACCCTGGTGCTCAATTCACTGAGCCACACCAGCCAGGGCTGGTTATTTGAATTTTTAAAACAGCTATAACTACTAGTACCATATGCAGTTAATTCCATGAGGACATACTATTCATTTTTTTAAATTTCTTTTTACACTACAGTTTGAATCTAATGTGTTTTACATTATTTTGTAATAAAGCATAACTCAGATTTCTGTAGGCCTTAAAACCACACAGGGGTTCTATTTGGAATTGTGTCTTCTGTAACAAATTTCAATAAAGTTGGGCCAACTTATCCTTGTCTGTGCCCATTTCCTTACCTATAAAGAGGGATAGTGGAACCCTCTTACTCTGAAATACTTAATGTGTTTTAGGGGACTCTATAAATAATGTGCAGAATTTGCATGTCCATTTTGACAGCTACCTAATATATTAGTCACTAGCCACATGTAGCTAATTAACTAAATTAAAACATTCAGTTTGTCATTCAGACTAGCCACATTTCAAATGCTCAACAGCCACACGTGCCTACTGGCTGTTATAATGGATGCAAACACAGAAGATTTCCGTCACTGCAAAAAATTCCATTGGACAGCACTGTTTAAGGGCAGGCTGCTTGGAGCCTACACTGGTCAGAGTTTACAAATAAGCCCTATCATGACTGGAATGTCACTGGGAAAAATCACCATTCACCAAACAGTACATATTATTTGATACAAGAGAACACACATTTATAAAGGCATTTAGTTTATTTTTTTTATCAAAAAAATATTTTTGTTAGAAGGTTTGAGTCATTTTACATGATCACAACCTTTAAACAAATTTATTTTCTGACCAAAAGGTACCCCTTAAGTGAACAGCTTGTGTAGGTCTGCTTTTGTAATGCCCAAATACAATTAGCACTTCTCTGATGGTATTCCCTAGGATTTCTTAAGTTGTCTACAGGCCAGGAGGCAGAGCCCAGCACATAAAGTATGTGCTTTATAACTGCAGATTAGTTCGGTTTCTTTTTGTTATTTTTTATTTTAGGGAGGGGGGCTGGGAGGGGGAAGGAGAGAAACACTGATATGAGAGAAAAACATCAACTGGCTGTCTTCTGTACACGCCCCAACTGTGGATGGAACCTGCAACCCAGGCATGTGCCCTGTCCTGCAATCAAACCACAACCTTTTGGTTTGCGGGATGATGCTTAACCAACAGCCACACTGGCCAGGGCTAGTTTGGTTTGTTAACATCACTAAGCAGAGCAGGCAGTCAATATATCTAATGCACACCATTAATACACTGTTTCTTGCCTGAAGGGTCTGATCCACCCAGAGTTTCCCATTCTCTCTCTTTAACACAGTGAATGAACCATGACTGTGGAGAAAAGGGGCAGCTCAGTTTAGGCTAGTGCTGGCTGTCTCCCAGTTAAGTCTGCTATGTTTTGTTCCAACTAAGAATTCAAGATGACCAGTGTAACTCCTATTTAATGATAAATAGAAAATACAATGCAATTCCAGAAAAGGGATTTAGGGACTACTGGGAGTAAGTGCTTCTTTTCCCTTAGGAGGTTCCCTTCAGAGAAGGTTGGTTCTCTACAGTTCTTGAGGGCTCTTAACTAAAAGTTGAATGAAATCTACATTCATTGCTATAAATTTAAGAAAAGGAAAAAAAAATCACTGGAAAGAAGCAATGACAGACTGGTAAGTTTGCTGATGGAGAGAATTGGGCATCTTGAAGGCACATTGTAGGTAGCTTTTAGTTTGTACAAGGCCTGTAATCAACCCCAAAAGCATAAGGTGTGCCCACCTTGTGGACAATTCAGTGCCAAGCTAGTAACAGTAGAACAATGCCTATCTCTCTCACCAACTGCCCAGACTGTACTTCAAAAATGTCTTTGTTGCAAAGAAATAATTACTGCAAACATCAGGACAAAGGTCATTCTAATGTAGGGCTTGGGCTAAATAGAGGTTACCATAAGGGACAGGGGTTGAAGTGACTGTGTATCAAAACCAAGTTTCATGAATGCAGAGAAACATTTTAACCAGACTTAAAATATGTGTAATTTAGGCTAAAGCATGCTGAACAGTGCACCTCAAGGTGTCCTATAAAGCTGGAAGTGAATGAAAAACTGGACTTGGACAGCTCGCTTTACGTTCCCTGTGAACATCCCTGCAAGCCTCAATGCTGAGATGATGGCCATTTCTCAACTGGAAGAAATAAATGGCAAGTCAAGCTTTGGGCATTAAATAAGATTCTTACCAGAACACACTTCTGTCTCTTCTGTATGCCTAATTCTGTCAGTAAGGAAATAAGATAGGGAGCTCCAAAGTATAAGACATTTTGAATCAATAGCCTAGTTACTCGCTACTTTGTATAGCTACAAAAAAAATGTAAGCAAAAGTATCACATACATATTGGGAAAATCTCATTTTGCATGCTTATGTCTGAAAATTGAAAATCTCAAGATGTCCTCCCCATTTTAAACTGTCATCTTTCCTAATGCAAACACAACCCTACCTATATAGCAGCATAAAGTACCTCTAATCTGTCTTTTTAACTACTTGAAGCACAACAAATACTGACCTGGTTTTATACTAAGGAGTTTTGAGTCTGGGAAACTTAGGCACGTTCTGAGGCTGTTTACAATGTAAACACTGGTGTTGGTGCTTGGAATGTCTGGGGAGGGAACCCTGTATGTAAATGCCCTTACCTGCTGGCAGTCAGCCTTAGCTTGGTGAAGTTAAACTGCACATTTTAGCTTTTTATTTTCAACACCTAACTAGGCCTAGATCCCAAGTGTCTTCAGCCATTTTGTTGGTATTTTTCTGTATAAGCTTCTGGGTTTCTTACTATATCCGTTGTTTTTCCTGCCCATTTCAGAACAGATAATAGGGAAGTCTAACATGCACTTTTATTTCCTTTTACATACCACGAAAGGCTAAAGATGCAAGATCCATTACATTAACCCTAATGAAGCCAAGTGTAAGGACAGGGCCGCTTCTGCCTTTCTGCAGAAAATGATGTTCATAGAAGCGAAAAAAGGACTCTGGTGGCAGAGTCTCAGGGTCCATCAAGCAGAGGCCAAATGAGGAGCCCTGCATGTTCCTGAGATCACTAAACAGATAAGTGTGTGTGTGTGTGGGGGGGGCCAATGACTCCTGCAAAAGACCTGAAGCCAGTCTTCATTTTAAATGTTAGTATTTTAAATACCCTTGAAATAGAAAGGTATTTGGCAAATTTTAATTTCTTAAGGAAGGTAACACAAGGGAAGTGTCAACTTGTAAATTATTCTTAGGCTGAGTTCTCATTTCTTTGACCACTTGTTTGATAGATACTAAGTTTTTTAATGGGTCAAAAACAAAAATCCAGAGAATTCAATGTTCCAACAAAAACCTTTATAAGTCTTAGGCATTTATTATAATTCTCAAATGTGTCTTCGTGTAAAAAACACACCAGTTAGTTTATGGCCACTTCCTCTCACCCTTCAAAAGGAATGCAACTCACAATCTAAGACTCACTTAGGGAAGTCAGTGAAGGTACTGCTGGTAAAAGGAAGTAGGGTAGGACTGGATTTGTCAAAACAACTCCTAGCTACCCTTTATGCCCAGGGAACACCTAATACTTTCAGAGTTATGTTGTATCAAAAACATCCTGCAGTTTTAGGTTCTGGGATTAATTAAATTTTAAACCTGTATTCAGTTCACATCTAACTAAGTTTCAAAAGCTGCACCAAATCTACTAGGCTTTTTTTTAATACTCTGCACTGCATGCTCTGTCTATATGCATGCGGTATTTGGATAATAAATATTAAATATGGGGTGGGGGGAACACATGGAATCCATAAAGTTAAAACTGAAACCAAACTGAACATTAAAAAATAGTACATGGTAGCAAGAGAAATGAATAAGCGCTAAAAATAAACTTGAGGTAACAATAGTGGCCCAATACCACTGATCTGAAATATCTGTAAAAATTCAAATAAGTGTTTGGAGATTCAAGTAACAAACCATCTGCTGCAACTTGGTCAGACTTCCCAGCCTTGCTGAGTTTTAGTCCATGAGCCGGCACTCACACAGCTCCTTGTAAATCCTCTTCCGTACTCGGGGCATATCTTCTTGGGAAAACTGGAAAGGCTGCTCTAAGGCGAGGCACTTGCAGTACTGTAAAGGTCCCAGAAACACTTAAATGGCATGTGGAGTTATGTACCAGCCCAATGTATAACACAATTTACAAAAGCCTTTGACCACTAAAGGAACCCAATATATGAGAAAGAATAGCCCCTGAAAGTGGCCATTATTTAAAATATGAATAGTTTTTACTCTGTGTCTAAAAGACCATTTGCAAATAGTTAAAAATTTATAGCTTCCAGAGTGGCTTACTAATAACCTCTGATAAGACATGGATGATATCAATTACACATGCTTGACCTTCAAAGGTGGTCTTCCAATATAGAAACTACTCCTTCTCAACAAGAAGGAAGGGAGGAAGGAAAACTAACCTGCTAACTGTAGCTAGTACCATGTACACATCACAGGGACTCCTATCTTGCCTCTCTAAACTCAACAAATTTAGTTCACACATTGTAAATTCTGAAGATAAAAAAAAGGAATTGCATTACCTGGAGCACAAAGACTCCACAGTCACTGTCATTTTTCTGCTGTGGAATACACTGAGGGGAAAACAAAAGGATCATTAAAATAAGACCAAGTCCTACTCTTCAGGTAAGAAATATTGTTTTTATAGAAAAATGAGCAAGACACAGGAAGTCTCTAGCCAGGACAGCTGGTATGTACTTCTCGTATTAAAATGTTTGATTTAATGGAGGCATTTGGCCACATGAAAGGAGCTATCAATCAACCACAATTTATAGAACATTTTGCCTAAACATGAAAAACAGGAAATCAAAACCCTACTTATAGACTTCCATTTGGATAATTAACTTTGCTATGAATTCACTAACAATGCACTTGTGGATCAGAGAACATGTACCTAGACTCTGAACACTTAAACAGTTACAGTCCTGCTTAGCAGTCTTCACTTTTCATCTCATATTACACAACTGTGTCCTAAGGAAAGAAATTGTAAAGGTAAATGGTATGTTTTCAAAAAAACTGTTACTATATCATTCCTAAAGTGGGAATATGAAAGATCCTGTCTAAATTTAGAATACCTATATATTCTAGCTGGGTAAATTCAGAAAATTTACAGGTTCAATTCTAATTTGAACTAATATACTAAGTTATTTAAAACAAAACTTAAGCTTAAGTTTTTTTAGCATTTATTTTCAAAGAGAGGAGAAAGAGAGGGAGAGAAACATCATTGGTTGTTTCTTTTTTGCCCCAAATGGGGACCTGGCCTGCAACCCAGGCATGAACCCTGACAGGGAATCAAACTGGTGATCTTTCATTTTGTAGGCTGGGTGCTCAATCCACTGAGCAACACCAGCCAGCGCATTTAAGTTTAAGTTTAAAACTTAGCACTTGGGACTTCCAGCCAAGCGGGCAAGTAGGTAGATACACTTTGCCTCCTTGCACAACCAAAAGAAGGTCAACGACAAATTTAAAAACAAAAACAACCAAAACAACCAGAAAATAAAACTATGGAAGTCTGACAACCAAGGAATTACAGAAGAAACATTCACCCAGACTGGTAGAAGGGGTGGAGAAGACATGCAGCAAGGCAGTGGCTGGCGGTCCCACATTCATGTGCAGATAAACTGGGAGGAACTACTGGGGAGCCAGACAGACCATGCAACCCAGGTTTCCAGCACAGAGAAATAAAGCCTCAAAACCTCTAGCTGTAAACCTATGGGGGTTGTGGTGGTGAGAGAAACTCCCAGACTTACAGGAGAGTTCATTGGAGAGACTCACAGGGTCCTACCAGGTATACAAACCCATCCCCCCAGGAATCAGCACCACAAGTGTCCAATTTGCTTGTGGGTAGTGGAAGAAGTGACTGGAAGCCTGCCAGGTACCAAGCAGCAGCCTTGTTCCCTCTCTGACCCCTCCCTCACATACAGCACCACAATACAGCAATGGGGGTTGCCATGCAGTGGCAAATACCTATGGCTCCACCCTTTACAGTGTAAGAGGCATGTGGAGACAAAGAAATATGGTCCAAATGAAAGAACAGATCAAAGCTCCAAAAATGGAACTAAGCAATGAAGAGAAAGCCAACCTATCAGATGCACAGTGCAAAACACTGGTAATTAGGATGCCCACAGAAGTGGTTGAGTGTGGTTGAAAAACAGAAGACGTGAAGGCTATGAAAAGGAAAATGCCTGACTAGCATAACTCAGTGGATTGAGCGCGGGCTGGGAACCACAGTGTCCCAGGTTCGATTCCCAGCCAGGGTACATTCCTGGGTTGCAGGCCATAACCCCCAGCAACCGCACATTGATGTTTCTCTTTCTCTGTCTCCCTCCCTTCCCTCTCTAAAAAATAAATAAATAGAATATTAAAAAAAAAAGACTAGATTAAAAAAAAAAAAAAAAAAAGGAAAATGTACAGGGAACCAACAGTGAAGGGAAGGAAACCAGGACTCAGAATGATCTGGACCAGAAGGAAGAAGTAACATTCAACCAGGACAGAATGAAGAAACAAGAATTCAAAAAAATAAGGAGAGGCTCAGTAACCTCCAGGACAACTTTAAATGTGCCAACATCAGAATCATAGGGGTACCAGAAAGAGAAGAGGAAGAGCAAGAAATTGAAAACTTATTTGAACAAATAATGGAGGAGAACTTCCCCAATCTGGCAAAGGAAATCATCTTCCAGGAAGTTCAGGAAACTCAGAAAGTCCCAATGTAGTTGAACCCAAGGAAGAACATACCAATGCACATCATAATTACATTACCCAAAATTAAAGATAAGGAGAGAATCGTAAAAGCAGAAAAAGTAAAGGAGACAGTTATCTACAACGGAGTTCCCATAAGAGTATCAGTTGATTTCTCAAAAGAAACCTTGCAGACAAGAAGGGGCTAGAAAAAAGTATTCCAAGTTATGAAAGGCAAGGACCAACATCCAAGATTCTTCTATCCAGCAAAGCTATCATCTAGAATTGGAAGGGCAGATAAAGTGCTTCCCAGATAAAATTAAAGGAGTTCACCATCACCAAGCCCTTATATCAGGGGTGTCAAACTCATTTTCACCAGGGGCCACATCAGCCTTACAGTTGGCCTTCAAAGGGCTGAATGTAATTTTAGGACTGTAGAAATGTAATTACTCCTTAACAGTTAAGCAAGAGCTTGGCACTGCTGCCAGGTAGAAACAAGGTGCCGGGCCAGAATCAGCCTGCAGGCCTTGTGTTTACCACCTATGTCTTACATGAAATGTTAAACGGACTTATCTAAGAAAAAGAAGATAAAAAATATGAATGGTAAAATGACAATAAACTCACAACAAACAACCTAAAACAAAAACAAACTAAGAAAACAACCAGAACAGGAACAGAATCACAGAAATGGAACTCACATGGAGGGTTATCAATGGGGATGCGGAGTGGGGGGAATGGGGAAAAAGGTACAGGGAATAAGAACCATAAATAGTAGGTAGAAAATAAACAAGGGGAGGTTAAGAATAGTATAGGAAATGGAGAAGCCACGGAACTTACATGTATGACCCATGGACATGAACTAATTGGGGGTAGAATGTTGGTGGGAGGGGGGTGCAGGGCAGCAGGGAATAAAGGGTAGAAAAATATGGGACAACTGTAACAGTATAATCAACAAAATATACTTTAAAAAATAAATATATAAAACTTAGTACTTGGTTCAGTTTAAGTATAAACAAATACGCCTTGCCCCTTAAGTTTTGGGTTAAAGGTTTGTTTCAAGACTCTGCATTTTTAACATTGTGTCAATGATCCAGACAGGGGACAGTAACAGGGGTAGTAGTGGAGGAAATTGGGACAACAGTAATAGAACAATTAAAAAAAATTTTTTTTAAAGAAAGGTCCAGACAGACCTGAGTTCAAGGACCTGACTACCAATAGTTTTGATGGCCTCGAGGGAAGGTCACTGTGAGGCTTCAGTTTTGTTTTTCTTGTTTGTTTGTTTTTTAATCTATAGAATAAAGAAAATGCCTATCCCAAAATGACCAGTTACCTTACAGGCTATAAGGATCAAATGAGATCACACAAGCCAAACACTTTGAAAACAAGAAAGCACTGACCATTAAAATATAAGACACTAGTATCTCTAACAGTTAAGCGAGAGCTCAGCACTGCTGCCAGGAAGAAACAAGGTGCCGGGCAAGATGAAACAAGGTGGCTTGTTTTGAGAGGCTACACCTGGGCATTGTGACTCCCATAGAGCTTTTAGATGTCTATGGGCCAAACATAGTGCTGCTTCCGGACTGAGCTCAGGCTGAAGCACTCAGTTCACTGCATTCCCCTAATGCCTGGAAAGCAGCTCAGTGTACTTATTCCCTTTCCAAATAGTCACTGAGGAAGAGGTAGGTGCCACCAAAAAAAAATGTGTATATATAAAATATGTATTTATATATAAATAATTATATATTCAATAAATATATAAGTAATTTAAATATATACATTTGTTGATATAAATTATATATGTATCCTCCCTCTCCCCCCACCCCGCCCCAGTGGAGCAACCATATCATCAGTAGCTGCCCCAGGGATGAAATAACTAAACTTATCTGTTCCCAGCAAGCACTGGGAAACAGCAATCAGATGATGAACAGTAAGGTTTTGAGCTGCTTCCCTGCGGCCTCCAGACTCTTCACTGGCGTGTTCATCACCAATCTAAAATGCTTTTAAAGACACCCAACCCTCTGATAATCCCATCCCCTTAAAAAGCCTGGGTTTTCATTTTTATCACCTACTTACCTTTGTAACAGCAGTCTGCCAACCCTGAAGAAATTCAGGTCTATTTTTTTCTCTGGCTTCAGTCAGCAAATACTTTTTTATATTCTGGTTGAAAAGAAACCAAAACACAGATGCTATGTTCCATGATTTGGTGAAAAATGGAACCTGCCCACAGCAGACAGAAGCAAAAGAGGAGGCTATGGTCCCACCATTCAGCAGAGTATGCATGAACAAGTTTGAAGCCGGAACTTTATTTCAGACCTTTTACTTTGTAACATTAAGGACTCTGACCCTCTATACTCAGGTATACACTTAGACTGTGGACACTGATATATGTTGTAATAAGAACCTGTTATGAGATGGTTGGCCTTTTCAGCACTAAGTCAACCTACTGAACCTGAAACTTAAAGATTACTCATGCTCAACAGAGGGAAGGAACTCATGGCAGAAATCATTAGTAACTGGAACTAAATGAAACACATTCCAGTTTCCATACTTTAGAGAACTACAGGTAAAGGTATTATGCAATTTGTTGAGGTATAATTAAACCCATTCTAAATACTAAATAAAGGCATATCCATGGCTGACATTTCTACCTAGATGAAGCCTACTGGAGTTTCAAATTTTCCCTTATGCCCTCAACCTCATCATGCATATCTTTCTCTGCATACCTCTTCTAAGAGTGAAATCAGAAGTTACAGGAGATAAATTAATCCTTTCTGAAGGAAGAGTAGAAGCATGTATGTGTATGGTTGTGTGTGTATATATACATGCACATATGTATTTTATTTACATAAATATGTTATACTGTAGTATTCCTGCAACTTGCTTTTTTAGCCTTAGTATATCTTCGAGATCTTACCATTTTAGAATATAGACATCTATATTCTTATTAACTGCTACGGTCAGTTTAACAGTGTGATTATACTACAGTGTACATATTTAGCTAATCTGTTGGTAGAGCTAAATTTAGGCTATTTTGATTTTTCACTATTATCAATAATGCTGCAATGAAAATCCTGGTGCATGCCTCATCCTTATGTGCAAATACGTTTTTATGGACTAGACACCAAGAAATGGAATAGGTAAGCAATAATTTACAAGGCACTTAGAAATGATCAGAATTGCAATTGTTCAAGTACACATTCCACCAGAAAATATGAACCTCTCCAAAGGTTCATATTACCCACATATGAGGTCTGTTTCCTCTTACCCACATAAACAACTGAATACCATTAAACTTTTCCTAATGTAATAGGCAAAAATAAATGGAACCATATTTGCATTTCCTGTATTTCCAGTGAGGCTGAGCATCTCTCCATGTGTTTAATGGTTAAATGCATTTTTCCTAAAAATTACTCATTTTATTAGATCCTTCTTTTTCTTATTTACTTGTAGAAACTCTTTATATATTATGGATAGTGTCTATTATATAGGTCACAAACATTTTCTTCAAGTCTATCCCTTGTCTTTTAACTTTATGATATACATAAGTTTTAAATTATGATATGTTAAAATTTATAAATCTGTTCCTTTATGTCTTTTGCTTTTTTTGTTGTTGTTCTGTGTAAGAATGCCTTCCCTACTCTAAGAACTTAACATCTTCTATATTATATACTAACTTTTGTAGGTTTGTGTTTTACATTTAGGTCATTATTATGTCTGGAATTTGTCTTTATAAATAGTATGAAGTAAGGATTTATATTTTACTTTTTAAATAGACAGCTAATTTTCCCAATTACATATACTGAAGAGCCTGTCCTTTCCTAACTTTATCATATACTAAGTTTCCACATATACATGAGTTGTTTCTAGATTCTCTATGCTGTACCACCAATCTACTTATCTATTCCTAAATAAATATAAACATAGTTTTTAATTATTAAAACTTTATGATATGGTTTGACATCTAGTAGACCAAGTATTCTATCCTTTACTGTTCTACTTCAAAACTATTTTAGTTGTGCATGCACACAAATTTTACAATGAGCTAACCAGGTTTCATTCAAAATCCTGATTGAAAACTAATTAGGACAGAAATTGGTATACATTAGTTTGGGAAGAACTGATCACTTTCCAATATTGAGTGTGTCTATTTTCCCATCTATTCAGATTTCCTTCAAATATTTTAATTTTCATCTTTAAAAACTTCCACATTTTTTGCTAAGGTATATTTCTGGATAATTTGTCTCTGTTACTTTTGAAAATGGAATCTTTCTGTGTTCAGTTACATTTTCTAACTGGTTCTTGCCAGTACAGAAAAATTAAGAAACCTACTAAATTTTCTTGCTTTGTATCCCACCACTTCATTGAAATCTCATATTTGCCAGCTGATTCTCTTGGTTATAATTCATTCTACAGAAGTATCTTAAAGATACAAGCAAATTTCAGCTCTAAGAGAAACCAAGGAAAATTACTTCTATCCACATTCAAAATAAACTGTTAAAAGAAAGGCACAATGAAATCTGATAAAACCCAAATAAGGAATGTATCTCAGGGAGGGATCCAGACTATAGACAGATACCTGTTCCCACCTGGATATTCCTAGTAAGTCCTTTTCTCTGCAAACATTTCAGTGGGCATTTATCTCAGAAACTGATCCCCTTGGTATTGACTTATGCTACTATATCTAGAGCCAAGATAATATTTGGTCAATCACAAGATATATAAAAAAATAGGCAGCATATTAACTTACCTCTACACAAAACTTAAAATGAATGCCTTGGGAATCATAAAATGAAATAATTCGGTTAGAGAGTGTCACAGTAATGAGAGACCAGTGGACTTCCAGGTGAATAGGAATCAACAGAAGACTCTTTTTAAACAGATCCACCTAATCAAGACAAGAAAAAGAAATGCAGCCATCACCACAGGCTATCCAAATCAACAACAATGAACAATAGCTTCATTTCTTGACCTTTGACCTGCCCAAGTCATAAAACTAGGAAGTGGTGAAAGCCAGAATTCGAAGCCAGGTCTTAGTCTGAAGTCCACGTAACTACTAAGCTATAATACACAATAAGTAAACTGATGACACAGAACCCTGGCTGGTATGGCTCAGTGGATTGAGCGCTGGCTTGCAGATTTAAGGGTTGCCAGTTTGGTTCTTAGTCAGGGCACATGCCTGGGTTGCAGGCTGGGTCACTGGTTTGGGGGTGTGTGAAAGGCAACCAACTGATGTTTCTCTCCCTCCTTTCCCCTCTCTCTAAAAATAAACAGGTAAATTAGTTTTTAAAAGAAAAGAGGCCAGTTCTCCCTGGGAGGCAGCACCACATTTTGCTTTGCCAATGAAGGACACACAGCTCAAGCATAAACAGGGAGGATTCTCAAAGTCCCTTTAACCTTTTAGCTTGTCACAACTCTACAAGTAACAACATTACCACACGATCCAGAAAAACATAAGCGCACACCATAATAAACATCACTGCACAAACTGTTCTGTCTTCATGTGCTTCCCAGTATTACCTACAGAGTTGACTGAACCATATGCTACTGAGCAACTGCAGTTCCAATGACATGAAGAGAAATAACAGTACACCAAGTGCAACACAGAAATTAATCAGCTAGCTATATTCTAGAGCTTCCAATGGAAACTCACACTGCCAACACCTTTGTCTGTCAACTAACATTCTCAGGTGTAGATGTAACCAGAATTTTATCTTCCAGTCCATGCTCAATACTATACTCTTCCAGTGAACAAGCTTAAATAAAAGGCTTTACACATACATAGCTCTTGTTTTATTAAACTTTCCATTTCACACTATCTAATGTCTTCCGAAAGATCATGCTTTATCATTAAAGGTTCCACTTAAAAGAGAGGTCATGCGGTATTTGTCATTTACCACCTGGCTTATTTCACCAAGTATAGAATACTATGCAGCAGAAAGAAAAAAGGAGCTCCTACCCTTTGAGACAGCAGAGATGGAACTAGAGAGCATTCTATTTTACATAATGAGGATAGTTTGCATTTATGTTTGCCTTTTCTAATCAGTGCTTCCAAATCTTACTTAGTACGTATTAAACTTAAGAGTGGTCAAACACTGCACTGAGGCTTTCAGAGCAGTCAAGCAGGCTGAAAATGATCAGTAGCTTCTCCTACATATATTTTCTCCTAAACTTAGGCAACTTCCAGATTTCAAGTAATTAGAGAGTTCTTTCACATTTCTTGGCTACAATGGGTTTCTCTCCTTGCAACTGTACATGGCTCAACGGGGTGGGCAAAAGACTTCTTTCACAAAAATTTCAATATATATCAGGCCATTCTCATGTACAATTTTGTTATGCAGGTTGCTTTTTAGGAGCTCGGAACAGAAGTTTACGTAACTTACTTGTTCTGCAAGAAAAAACACCATTTACCTGGCTTTATAACAACGTGCTTAAGAAACATGAGGTTAACCATAACTGATTTCAAAAGAGACCTTTATTTCTAAGTTTCTCACAATTCTACAAGTAAAAACATTACTACACAATCTAGAAAAATACAAAAGCACACCTTAACAAACATCACTGCACAAACTGTTCTGTCTGTCTTCATATGCTTCCCAGTATTACCTACAGAGCTGACTGAACCATATGCTTCTGGGATACTGTAGTTCTGAAAACATGAAGAGAAATAACAGTACACCAAGTGCAATGCAGAAATTGGTTTCAGCTGTATACTAGAGTTTCCAATGGAAACTCAAACTGCCAACACCTGTCAACTAACATTCTCAGGTGTAGATGTAACCAGAATTTTATCTTTCAATCCATGCTTAGTCCTATACTCTTCCACTGAACAAGCTTAAACAAAAGGCTATACACAAACACAGCTCTTAAAAAAAAAAAAAGAAAGAAAGAAAAGAAAACTGATGGCATAGAAAGCACCACTTTCCATTTCAACTGCTAAACCCGTGTTTATCAACTGTCGGTATGACTTGGCCCCTTATTTTATGCTTAACTAATTTTCTTGTTGTACATATTTGACTGCAACTCAATTCTTATTAGAAAAGAATCATGGTATTAGAAAAGAGGGCTATAAAACTTCTGTCTTTCTACAGACTCAATTTAGTAGTTAAAATTGTGGGCTCTGAAGTGTCTGGTCAAGTTCAAATTGTCTGGTCTAAAGTCTCTGGTCAAATAGCTCTTGCATTTATTGGCCAGATGACTCTGGCAATTTTCACAGCTGTGTTTCAATTTCCACCATATGAAATACAGACAACAATAGTACCTACCTTACGAAGTTTTTGAGAGTGATAATCCAATAAATCTTAGCTATTATCATCGTTACTACCTTAGGTCACGCAGATGTCAAAACTGAGAAAAGTATTCCTGATAATACTTTACATCTTAATTCATCCTTTATATCCTAATATAATAATATCCTTTGCAATCTAGAAATATTTGAGATTCCACTCAAAATTCTAGTTGTGGATAATAAAGTAGTAGGTGTTTAATAAACTACAAATTTGTAAAGTTAATAAATTTCTTTTCTTCCAGTACTTTAATTTTTTAAAAGATTTATTTACTTACTTACCTACTTATTTATTTATTTATTTATTTACTTATTTATTTATAAAGAGAGGAAGAGAAACATCCATGTGTGAGAGATATATTCATTGGTTGACTCTTTCACTCCCCCAACTGGGGACCTGGCCTGCAACCCAGGCATGTGCCCTGACTGACTCAAACCAGCAACCTTCTGGTTCCCAGGGTGGTGGTCAATCCACTGAGCCACACCAGCCAGGGCTTTTATAGGTACGTTGAAGATTACTGTAGAGATCCCTTGGGTTAAAAAACTACAAGTCTAGTTTAAAAGAGTTGAAATGTTCTCAAGGCTTTTTTGCTTTCTAATACTCAGATAAGGTCCTGCTCTAGAACACATAATGTTCTGCTGGTCTCCATGACCTTGGAGCAAAGCACTTTAGCACTTCTGTTTTTCAGTTCCCTGTATCCATAAACCTGGGAGATGGACAGAAAGAAATATTAGAAAGAATTGACAATTGGTTCTTTTCAGCTCAAAAATTCTGAGTATCTAAAACAAGACATCATATTTAAAATACAGTATTAAATGATGACAAATTTATATTCTTTCCAAAACATTTTGGGAGGAGCATACAGCCATGCTGTGAGCTGTCTGTGGAGAGGAGTAACCTCTAGAAGCTGAGGACTTCAGTCATGCCATGACAAAGAACTGAATTCTGCCACCAATGAAAGAGCTTGGAAGGTGAGAATGCAGTCTGGCTGAATCCTTGAGTGTGGTCTACTGAGACCCTGAGCAGATGACCCAGTTAAGCCACACCTGATCATCGAAACTGCGAGATAATCAATAATGGAAACATCTCAGCATATGAATATGGGAAAGAGGTGAATGAGAGTGGTTCTGCAGAGTTCTCTAGGTGGCCTTTTCAAGGTCAGTTGACTGCAGACTGGAAAATGTATTCCTAGCCAGGAGGTCTGAAGAATGTTATGGCATGTTCTCTGAGGTTCCCAAAGCATTCCTAAATACTCTGAGTTGGGTGACCACAACAAATAGAAAAGGAAGAGCCAGAAATTAAGACCCTCCAGAAATTTTCTGGACCAACCTGAACCTTTCAAACACTGAATCTTACAACTTGAAAAACTCTAAAAACTGGACCACCAAGGTTCCTGATATCCTTAACACTATGGTTGGTGAGAATCTAACTAGAATCTCTCTATAAGCTTTTAGTGATTAAAAAATAAGATTTGCCCTGGCTGGTGTGGCTCAGTGGATTGAGTGTTGCTGGCCTGTGAAACAAAAGGTCACTGGTTCGATTTCCAGTTAGGGCACATGCCTGGGTGGTGGGCTATGTTCCTAGTGGGGGTACATGAGAGGTAACCACACATATGATGCTTCTCTTTCCTTCTTTCTCCTTCCCTTCCCCTCTCTCTAAAAATAAATAAATCTTTAAAAAAAATAAGATTTATGGAAAACAGTATGGAGATTCCTCAAAATATTAAGAGAACTACCGTATGATCCAGCTATGCCACTTCTGGATATGTACCCCCATGTTAATTACAACATTATTTACAATAGCCAAGATATGGAAACAACCTAAGTTTCTATCAATGGAAGAACTGATTAAAAAAGGTGTGGTGTGTATATATAGAATGGAATATTATTCAGCCATAGGAAAGAATAAGATCTTGCCTCTTGCAACATGAATGGCCCTAGAGGGTATTATGCTAAGCAAGGTAAGTCAGATAGAAAAAGAAAATGCCACATGATTTCATTTATATGTGGAAACTAAAAGAAAAACTTTAACAAACAAATTATATTAATCTCATAGATACAAAGAACAGATTGGTGATCACCAGATGGGAAAAGGGTTGAGGGGTGGGCAGTATGAGTGAAGGTGTCATTATGTGGTGATGGGTAGTAACTAGACTTTGGGTGGTGATCACTTTGTAGTATATACAAACCTCAAATTATATTGCATACCTGAAACTTACAAAATGTTATATACCCATGCTACTTCAATAAAAAGGTGAATAAAAAAAAGAAACTTTTGGACTTCCGGCAAGATGGAGGCATAGGTGGATGCACCGTACCTCCACGCACAACCAAGATTAGAACAACAACAATTTAGAGGCAGAATAACACCCAGAACTGACAGAGAATTTATCTGAATGGAAGTCGGACAGCCAAGAAGTTGAAGTAGACCAGTTCATCCAGACCAGTAAGAGGGGCGGAGAGGAGCAGCCGGATGCGGGTTGCAGCGTGCGGAGAACAGGGAGACCTGGGCGCATAAGGGAACTGGGAGCTCATAAGGTATCTGCGGTGCGCAAGATTGCAGCGGGTGGACCCTGAGTATGCAAGCGGCAGCTGGCAGACCC